TAAGAAAACGTTCGAAAGCGGCACGCGCTATTTCTTTCCCGCGCGACTATGACCATTTCTCACTAAACTAGAACAACACGGGGATTTCAGTTTTGTCTGTCCCCACACTCAATTTTCCCAAAAATCCTTCGCACATCCCATTTTGGTGTTCTTCCAGGACCTATTCGGCATATTTTATCACTTTGGCCGGAAGATAGCGCCAGCGCAGGGCGTGATGTTGAATGTCACAGACTTCCCTACTCCTACTCCGCTCCCACCTCCTGCCTCCCTCGTAATGAATATGTACTCGGGTGTTCGTCTTCTGATGTGAGTGTGAGGCCCTTTATGACTTCCTTTGATTGATGGATCTGTCCGCAATTTCAGCCTCCCGTGGATGTCTCTGACCATAGCTAACACCAGTGGCGGCCTCGTCAAAGAAAAATTGTTGGGCTAAGTGCTGGTGGTTAAATGTCCTTCAGGACATCACAAGTTGCCCAAAAGAAAAACAAAATAATGTGTTTAGGTCAGCCCCTTTATGGGTCTAGTACATGCCAGCCAAAGGCTGCTGGCCCTTTAGGAGGCCGCCCGCCGCCGATGTATTTTATCAACGCATTGGCGCGCTAGCCTCCGAAATGTTAAGAGGGGCTCAATCGGATTCTTAACTTGGCTGGGGTCATGTGCTGGTGGTTTAGGGCCTCTTTTTTTATGTTCGCCAAGCGGGACCTAAGAAGCATGTGATAAGCTCAGATCCGTACCGCGCGGCTTGCCGTATCCCTGAGAAAACATCCCGCGGAAGCCCCGAAGTACTGACGCGGATAGAAAGGGGTTTTTCTTTCTTTTTGCTTTCGTTTTCTTTTTGAAACGGCTTTTTCATTTTGTTTGGTTAATAACTCCCGCGGGCGAATAGCGGCCGCGGTATGAAAACCAAGAAACGGGCGCGGTTGGGACTTTTTGAATTTTTGCGCGCGTGCCCAAGCTCCGGTTTCTTCGCGCGTCTCGCATCCTCGTTTCTTGCTTTGCATCCTCGCGCCATCTTCCCTTCTTGCTGCGCGCGTTTTCCCCATGCAGGACTCTTCGTCTTCCCTACGCCCAGCTTGATCCTTACCCCGTCTTCCTCCGCGAAGTGATTGGCTACGTAGTTGGGATGCTCGGATCAATGTGGAAAGCGGGAAACCGCGCACCACTTGGACGAACACCCCAATCACGTCGCCATGCAATCCCGCGGATCGAACCCTCTAACTCCCCACCTCTCTCTCCTGTCCTGCTCATCTACACCCTGCGCTGCCCGCACCTCGCGTTGTTAACCCGCCGCCTCCCGCGCTATAAATTTGCACAACCCTCTCCTCTCCCTCTCTTTTGATGGCTGCAATGCTGCGCGAGCTATGCACGAGAGTCCGCGGCGCCGAACAGGCTCGACGAGCCCAAGGCCGGGCGGAGTGACAACGTGGGGTGGACCCCGCGGTAGTCTCGGGGCGAAGCAGTCGGAGGGACTGAGCAGTGGTGGGGATTGGACGCCGGCCGCGACGGGGCCTTGTGGCTATGGTGGTCGGTGGTCTTGGGAAGTTTTAAAGGCTGCGCCTAGGGGCGGCAGTTAATTGAAATTTTTGTGTACAAGAAGGACTCGCTTTTATCTCCATTGCTGCTTTGTCTATGCATGTCGTGAAGCCCCGAGTGAGGGGAGCTGGTTATGCGCATGAGTGACGTCGAAGGTCCATGGATGATTAGATGTCCTGTCAAGGGTTGTTGATTGCATGCATGTATGTGTGTATGTACTCGTCCGGGCGGGGATGGGGAAACTGAACTGGGGGACCGTCTGCTTAGGAGTATGAGTGTGTTGATCCGGTTGTTCCCCTCCCCTTCGCAGCCTTTCGTGCGCTCTCGCGCGGTCTTGGCGTATCTCTCTCTCTCTCTCTCTCTCTCTCTCTCTCTCTCTCTCTCTCTCTCTCTCTCTCCCTCCCTCCCTTTTCGATCGCCTTCCTTTTGAACTAACAGTCATCGCCTTTTAGAGCTTCTTGTCCCCGTACCGGTGGCGTCAACCGCCTGCGTCCGCACGGACGGTCGACGCCCCCGCCAAGGGGAGAAAGCTTAGATTTCGTCATCCTCCCCCTACGCACCCACTTTTGAGAGAGAAGAGTTGAGACGATTGATTGTATGAATTCGGTGTTGGTTCGGATGATCGGAAACGCGGGATCTTGCCCGTGTTCATCACGTACCTCCGATCGTCTTATTTCCCTACCAACCTTCCCCATCACAGATGACGACAGCGTCTACTACGATGCGGACGTACGGCGCGCGCTAAGACGGACGGAGCAAGTGTGTTGGCAAGACCCGCCTCGGGCTTGTGAGATAAGGGGGAACGGGTTTGCGTTGATTGATCGCTTTGATTCCCCGACTCTAATATTGCCTTATACGGGTTTAACGGTGTTGCCCTGGTCGGCCGCTCACGTCGCGTGGTGACCCCAGTTTGATTGTCGCTGGTGTCGCCAGTGGGACTCGTGTTTGTGGCGACGGCTGGTCCTGGGTTACGAGGGAGCGACACGTTTCCCCGAGCTTTCCCGTAGTGCGGGAGCGCTGGCCGCGCAATTTCGAATTCAGATGCCGGCGAGTCCTCCCGCCGCTTTACCCTCTCGGAAACTTTCATGCGGGCTCTATGAGTCCGACGCCGAGGCTTGAAGGCCTCGAACCCACCACCTATCCCCGGAACCCATGACGGCCGGAGTTTTTGCCGTCTGCCGCCATGGCCTCCTCCCCTTGATGCCTTTTCCCGTCCCGATGCGCGACCGCAATTCATTTTCACAGAAACCCTTCTGATTTTATCGTTTCGGAGTAATCCGACCCCCGCGGGACTTCGTAACGACAGTTCGACTCCAAGAAAAACCTCGGCCATGAAACGAGAGCCTCCCGTTCCGCCCTGGAGACTCAACTCTTACAACCAAAAATCCTCGGCCATGCCCCTCCTAGAATTCTGATAGGCGACCCCGTACGGGAAGCTGCAAGGGGGCGTGAGGTTGGTATCAGAGCTGATTCGTTTCAGCTCCGAGGTTTTCCTAGGATGTTTATCCTGTTTTAAAGTTTCTCCTTTTATTCTTTTTGATCTTTTCACTAGAATTTTCGCATTTTTTTTTAGAAGGCTGGCTCCCCGTCGACGGAGACCCGCGAATAGCAATCAGAACCGAGCGAGGGGCCGGGCTCGAAACCCGCCTCCCGCGATGGTGGAACCCGGAATCGGGGGTGAAAAACGACGGCGACAACCACGCGAAGATGGCCAATCATCCCTTGTACTTTGTACCTCCTCCCTCCGAAGTTCCCATTTTTTCTGAAGATGACACCGATCCTCGCACCTGGCTAGCTGCCTTGAAAGCCGAGGGCTGGTCGGACCAGTTGCTCCGAGAATGAATTCCCGAAAGGTTAGCCGGAACCGCTTTTGAGTGGTACGGACAAAACCCCTTCACTAATTGGGCAGCCTTCCAGAGGAAATTTCTCGATAGATTTGATCACATCGCACTATGTCAATGCCTCCGTTTAATAAAGGAATACACACAACAGCCTCGGGAAACCTTGGCTAGATATGCTGAAAGTTTTACGTACCTAGCCGAACGCTCCAGGGTGGATGAGAAAATGGTACGGACTGATTTCGTCACAGGACTGTCAGACTCTCGTCTGCGGAAAAAGATCCGCAAGAAATGCAACCCTATAGAACATACCCTGACGGAGCTAATTCAGTACGCAATTAAGTACGGGAAAGAAAATTACGATGTGGGCCTGGACTCAGAATCCGACGAAGATGACCCTTCGGGTGTTCGACGCAATAGCTACTCCGCTACGGCACGAATGTTCGAAGATTGCTTCGGGTTGGGACCGGCAAAAAAGGCTCCGATCGGAAAGCTTCTTCCTCAGCTTCGGCCTCCCATCGCTCTTGTCAAACGCAAGGAAGCCGGGGCGAGGAAGAAGCATCCATGAACGAAGTCGCGGCCCAACTAGTTACGGTAGTAGCCCCGTTGACCGAGTTTGTTCAAGGTCTGCAACGACAACGCATAGCGGCCGCACAACGAGAACAGGCGGCTATGGCTGCCGGAGCCCCTATGATAAGACCGGCCGTGGCTGGGGCTGTCCCACCCCTACGCTGTTACAACTGTAATCAGCCAGGCCACCTTGCGAAAGATTGTCCGAAACCCCGAACTCAGGGTGGGCCCACCGGACCTTCTCAAATCCCGCTGGCTGCTCCCACTGCTGCAGGACAGGGGAGGGTAACCACGGTAATGGACACAGGAACGACGGAGATGGTGACCCCGGCGGCCACTGAGATAGGACCCGATGAGTATATGGCGGCAACAATGTTCGAACCCGGGACCATCGGAGTGATACGTCACGTCCAACGGATTACCGAGGAAAGCGACCTCGGGCCGTGGTGACGAGGATTCGAGGATCTTGCGGCACCTGGTCCTGAATACAAGGATGGCCATATCGACGTATTGGATGCCTTGAAGGCTTTGGATCTTCGGATCCCCGTCCCTATTCCATATCTGCTAACCATTTCCGAAGCGGCTAACGAAAAGTTGATCGAATGGTGCCTCAAAAACAGGCGTCGATTCGAGGAAAGTCGAAAGGGCAAAAAGCCGGTCCTACGGGACCTACCAACTAAGGAGGAGTCACAGCCCTCAACCTAAGAGGTGGACAAAGCCAACCGGATAGGGATGATCCAGACCGTAGATTCTGCCTCGGAAAAACCCGAGGTATTCCTCCGGGCCTATCCTATAACCTGGAAAAGCGTAGAGTGCGACTGTGAGGACTGGGGAAACCCCCCGGCCACCATCCTAGACTCGGGATCTTCGGCGGTCGCCATTTCTTGGAGATTGACGAAACAGTTGGGAAGGGAAAGACAGGTTCAACCCCTCCGGCCGGATGAACTGTATATATCCGCTACGGAAGATAGTATTCATTGTAGAGGGCGAATAACGAATGTGCCTATACGGGTGGGGCGGATGCATTGTTTGTGTGACGTGATTGTGCTGGATGTACAGGAGTATGATGTTCTGCTAGGCATTCCGTGGCAGGCGGCGGTCGGAGCGCGAATGCACTTTGACAGTTGTAAGGTGGTGCTCACATCGGCCCACCCCAAACCCCAAATGATACCGATGAGACTGGCAGTGCGCACGCGCACCCAGCCGGCGCCTCGCCTCACCACTAAAGCCCATCAAATCAACATGGTCCGACGCTTGTCACCAGACGAAAATGAACCCTCGACGGAAACTGACAAGACTGATTCACCCAACCGATATCCGATCGCAGTACAGGATCGGTGGCGCCATTCTTGACGGCGAGAACCACTGGAAATAGTTCGGAGGGAGACCAATTGGTCGCACGCGTTCTCCTCCGTGGTGCAGGGGGAACCCCTGCTGAGGGTGTCCCGAATAGCTGACCTTTCTGAACCCCCTGTGTCCTTGTATCTCCGGACGGACCCCCTACCTAACAGATTTACCGAGCTGAGGGGGCTTTGCTTTTTATTTTTTCGACCTTCACGGCCCCTACTCACGAATGAAAAAGCCGCGATACTCCTGAAAGGGGGTGTCGTTTCAACCCCGAACGAGGAAGTATCGGTGGGGACCGAGGGAATTGGCGCAGGCCTTTTCAGTCGAACCCTCGGCCGAACCCGAACTGGACAGTGACAGTGACATGGAAAGCGAGCTGATGAGTCCAGCGGACAGCCAACTTATTGCGACGGTCCTTTCGGCAAAAACCGACAACTCTTTGTTTGGGGCCTCGCCCGATGCCAACACGTCTGTCCCCACGGTTACGACGACGGTCTCCTTTCCTGGGGGAACCGTAGAAGTTCAGTTACCAGTCTGTGTTCCGGACGAATACAAACGCCTCCTCTTGGCGGTTATACGGGCCTATCCTGAGGCCATCAGCATTCAGGACCACGACATAGGGCTAACCCCTTTGATACAACACGCGATTGACACCGGGGATCACACCCCTATACATTGCCGACCGTACCGATATTCCCTTAAAGAAAGCCAACTGGCGTTGGAAAGGGTACGGGAATTCGAGCGGTTGGGGTGGGTCGAACCATCGCTGGGACCATGGTCTTTTCCCGTGGTCCTCAAGCCAAAACAAAATGGCTCGGTTCGGGTATGTATCGGCTACCGGAAATTTAATGCCATCACTACCAAAGATGTGTATTCCTTGCCGCGAATTGATGATTTGTTAGACGCTATCGGGGCCGCTCGAGTTTTTTCAAAGTTCGATATCCGACACGGTTTTCACCACGTTGCAATCCGACCGGAGGACCGACCCAAAACCGCTTTTGTCCTGTTTGAGGGCATGTGGCAATGGGTCCGGTGTCCCATGGGAATTTGTAACGCCCCTGCAACGTTTCAGCGGGCCATGAATATGGCCTTCGTTGAGTTCGTTAACAAACCCAACTAACCCAGCCCCTGATCAATTTCTGCGTGATTGTGTACATGGATGATAGTTTGGTCTTTTAAAAAACACACGAGTACCACGTGGAACACATTGAGTGGGTTTTGCATGCACTAAAAGATGCAGGGTTCAAAGTGGCCTTGGAGAAAAGCGAGTTCTTCTTGTCGGAGATCTTATTCGTGGGGTATATCGTCACGGTCGACGGACTAAAAACAGATCCGAGGAAGGTGGCAGCAGTTCAAGACGCCCCGGCGCCGGTCACACTCACCCAGGTTCGGGCTTTTCTAGGGCTGGCATCCTATTACCGATGCTTCATCAAGGGGTTCGCCGGCATAGCGAAGGCCCTCACGAACCTGCTGAAGAAAGAGGAACAGCTTATCTGGACGTCGAAATGCAAAGCGGCGTTTCAGGCATTGAAGGAGGCTCTGACATCTGCTCCTGTGTTGGCACGCCCCGACCCGACAAGACCATTCGCACTGTACACAGACTGGCAGCCTCAGGCGATATCGGCGGTGCTGACTCAGCACGACAAGGACGGAAGGGAGCACGTCATTGAGTATGCATCCAAGACGCTGAGCCAGGCGCAGGCTAATTACGAAGCGTGCAAAGGTGAATGCCTGGCGGTGGTGTGGGGGATTCAGCATTTCTGACCGTATCTTTACGGCCAGAAATTTGTGCTGGTAACGGATCATCAGACGCTGCTGTCCCTACGCAACAACACAGACTACACGAGGACGCTGGGCAGGTGGGCGGTGCATCTGCAGGACTATGACTTCGACCTCCGCCACCGTGCCACGCGGCAGCATGGTAACGCCGATGGATTAACGCGCCTTCTGCCGCCCAACATAAGTCCTGCCAAAGAGCGACTCATTCTGTGGAGGCCAGAAGTCGCGGCGACGAAACCGCACTACGGGGAGCTACACGTGCTGGGTAAGGACGACGCCTGAGTCCGGAATGGAGGTTTCATCGGAGATGGCCGATGCTATCTCTCTAGCCTCATCCCACTCCCTCGCTCTCTCGTCTAGCCCCAACTTGTCCCCTGAAACACACCTAAGTCCCTGTTTATCTGTACCTTGCCTATGATCCCGGACCAAGAAGGGTCACATCCGGGAGGGCCCAGTTTTCTTTTATGGGTACAGTGTAGTTAGTGTCATACAGTCAAATCTCACGGACAGTGCGTTAGGTACCGAAGTGAAAAGACGTGGGTCTGTCCCAACTGTAGAATGGACCAAGTCCCTACCGAGAAGCGGTAACTGGATTTGCGCCAAGTGCCTGCTGGGCAGAAGCCTGGACGGACCTTCTGTTGCTACGGAGACTGTCAGGCGACTCGTTGTCAGAACTCACCAAAGCCGAACGGCGGAGAGTCACGGAGCGGGCGCAGGACTACCGCTGGCAGGGCCCGACGTTACAAAAACGGAAGGTCGATGAAGACGGAGAGTCTAGCTGGTTGACGGTTCCACACCCTTTTGCTAGGTTCGATTGGACACGAGCTGCTCATCAGGAGGATGCGGTCCATTTCGCGGTCAAGTACACGGAAAAAGCCATCGAAAAGATTGGATGGTACTGGTCGGGAATTCGGGAAGATGTGAAATACATCGTTCAGAATTGCCCGGCCTGCGCGGCGGACAAGGCGTCGGTACAGATGCCTCGGATGATGGTGCCCACTCGTGTAGAGCGCCCCTTTCAGAGGGTTAGCATCGATACGACGGATATCAACGTTCCGAGAGGGCCCGTCAATCAGGGAGAGCTCAATGTTCTTTTAGTGGTCGTCGATCATTTTTCAAAATGGATCGAGGCGTACCCTATGACCAGTCGGAATTCGCAAGAAGTAGCCTGGTACGTAAATCGATTTTTGTGCATGCATCTAGACGTAGAAGAGGTACACATGGACAATGGGTCGGAATTTCAAGGCGAAGTAGAACGTCACCTAGTCAGGGCGGACGTTAAGATTATCTACTCACCGGGGCATTGGCCTCAAGCCAATGGCCTGGTAGAGAATGCCAACCGACTGATTAAGACGGCCCTCAGGCGGAACATCACTGCGGGAGACACCCGACCCTGGCCGGTCATTGTCGATCACATTTTGGCCGTTTATCGGGCTACCCCACACGGTAGTACTGGGGTGTCCCCCTTTCAACTGAGAACCAATAGTGTCCCTCGGGTGCAATTGTCCACCTTAGTAGGTACGGAAGTTAGAGCAACACGGGCCCAGAATCGAGACAAGGCCCACCATTACATGGACTTAATGGCTAGGGCCTATCCCCCGTTAGCTCGTCGTCGACAGCAGGCCGTAGATCGGACACATCAACAGCAGATCTGTGACTAAGAGAATCGACACGCGTCGGCGGGACCACTGTCCCGCTATAAAGTTGGGGACTTGGTGCAGGTACAGAAATCTGCGTGTTCCTCCAAGATCCACGCGCGCTACACAGGCCTTTACGAGGTCACGGAAGTTGGCGCACAGGGACAGCACTCCGTGAAGCTGATTCCCCGTCACAATTCCCAGGCCCGACCGCTGACACGGCACGATGCCGCGCTCCGGCCCTTCCAACCATCGCTAGGTCCCCTACGGACCCCCGCTCCTGCAAGATCACCCTCTCCTTCTTCATCCTCCTCCTCTTCCCGATCTGCCTCGTCCATTGGTGTTGAGAGTTTCAGGGAGCAGGATGAACCATCGCCAGCCGGAGCATGAGCCCCTCGAGCACTTCCAGACGCCGCTTGCAGATTGCTTGTTGCGGCATCGGTTTAATGAGGAGAGGCAGTTGCGGTACGACATCCAACAGGTGAACGTGCCAGCGCCCGGGGTTGCTGATTTGACAGCGTACTCGTTGCTTTGCGATCGGCTGATATATGCGGGAGTGTACGTGGACGTGACGCAGTTGCCTGGACGGGAGACGACCCGAGTATTCATTGAGTTCTGTGCGCTCGAGGTGGCACCCAACTTCGTGCACAGCGTCGCCACCTTCATCGGAGACTTGACGGTCCTACCGCGGCAGAATCGGGAACCGGCACGCAGCTTTGTGCGCGAATACGCGGTGGAAGCGGCCAGATGAGTGGCCAGAGTGCAAGGACGGGAGGGACACCTATTCACAGCCCACGAAGTGCTGCTGCGTAGGGCAGAGGACGGACTGATTGCGTTGGTGCAGCTCCCCGCGCTTCTCCCCCCCGCTGCTCCTCTCAACCTCCAAGCTATTCCCCCTGTCCCGTACTAAATGCCTCCTTTCTTCTCCTACACCACCCTCCCCTACCAGCTCACGGAGGGCCCTTACCCCATGCGCGAGTTCTCGGAGTATTTGGTGGAGCTAACTGACGTGGAGCCTCTGCCCTTCGGCGACGAAGACGCGTGGGAGTTGCACCGTGCGCTGTACAAGTCGGTGGCGCTGGGGATGTTCCGGTTCTTCATGGATCACGAAGACCACGCTATCGGGGAGCACTTCGTCGTTTACTACGTCATCGCGCGGCCCAAGCCAGCGGAGAAGGAAGGGACGGTGGAGCTGTACCCCTTCGCCCAGCTCCAGACAATCGATCCGGGATTGTTGGAGCTCATACATCTTGAGCTCCTCTCCATTGCGCAAGTGATCGCGAGCGAGGAGGAGGAGATCCAACCACGATTGCGAACGGCGACGGCCCTACGGAGAACGTACAACGCGGTCGTCATTCCGGATTACATTGCGCAGCGCGTGGAGAGATTGGAGGACTTCCCGGAGGAAAGGCCGTTGCGTCCTCCCTCGTCGTATCCTCGACCAGCGCCACCGAAGGTCCCCAAAAAGACGCCGAAGAGGAAGAGATGTCACCCGTCGCCAGGAGCGCAAGGCAGCAGGATCGGCGGTGGCGAGGAGGTGATTCATCCCGTGCGTACGCGGATTCCTGACCCTGTGCCTGGGAGCGTGGCGACGCTCGTTAAGGAGACTATCGTGCCATCACCGCCCATTCCGCGTGTGCCCGATCTCAATCTTGATGGAGTCGGGCCATCATCATCAGCAGCAGCCGGAGGAGGAAGCCGAATGGGATCTCCGGATCCCATATCCAGACCCCCCGTCCTCGCGGGACCTCTCCGTTCCCGCCAGCCACCCCGGGGTGCCCCGGTCATTGACATTAGTAGTTCATCCGAGCCGGACGGTCCATTCGACTGAGGTGGACTTCATGGTGGAGCCCGCCACCATCAGGCTCGAGGCCATCGTGGGGGCGCCCCGCCTTGATCCGGCGTGGGAGCCATATCTGACACCCCCTTTCCAAGGGTGTATTGTGGCGGGATTGGCTGGGGCGCTCGTCTACGAGACCGGGCAGCGTCTAAATGCAATGTACCACTTCCTGGTCTTCGCGGCGCAGAAGCGGGAGCAGCGGCCTTACACCGAGACTCATATGGTGATGACGGGTCCAGGGCCCCGATCGCTGCGCAAGCGGGTGGTGCGAGCGGTAGCGGATCTGGTGCCACGTGTCCTCTCTTATGTGCCAGGGGCTTTCCTTTACCCCTCATTCGTCCAGCATCACTTCCATGAGGAAGATGCGCCGACGACTTTGACGGCAATGGCCGCTTTTCTTCCACCTATTCCGCCCCCTCTCAATCCCGACATAGATCACTTCCTCCGATCACCCTTGTCTACCTCTTCCCTGTCCTCTCCTTCTCCTTCTCCTCTTTTTCTTCTTCTTTTCCAGATCTAAAAGCTCACGCGACGATACGCGCTGTATATATATATATATATATATATATATAATATATATATATATATATATTTTTACTTACGGATCGGGCCAGCCGACGATGAAGGGGCCGCCCGATCGAATGTATACTATGGGAGGAGGCGATGGAGGATGCAGGATGCATCCACGTAGATTAGGAAGATGATCGGGCCAGCTGACGATGAAGAGGCCGCCCGATCATCCATGATATGATGGCATCAGCAGTCGGGAGACTGCTAATTTTTCGGAACCTCCTGCGTATCACAGATGTGATAAGCTCAGATCCATACCGCGCGGCTTGCGGTATCCCTGAGGGAAAATCCCGCAGAAGCCCTGAAGTATGGACGCGGATAGAAAGGGTTTTTGAAACGGCTTTTTCATTTTGTTTGGTTAATAACTCCCGCGGGCGAATAGCGGTCACGGTATGAAAACCAAGAAACGGGTGCGGTTGGGACTTTTTGAATTTTTGCGCGCGTGCCCAAGCTTCGGTTTCGTCTCGCATCCCCATTTCTTGCTTTGCATCCTCGCGCCATCTTCCCTTCTTGCTGTGCGCATTTTCCCCATGCAGGACTCTTCGTCTTCCCCTATGCCCAGCTTGATCCTTACCCCGTCTTTCTCCGCGAAGTGATTGGCTGCATAGTTGGGATGCTCGGATCAATGTGGAAAGCGAAAAACCGCGCAACATTTGGACGAACACCCCAGTCACGTAGCCATGCAATCCCGCGGATCGAACCCTCTAACTCCCCACCTCTCTCTCCTGTCCTGCTCATCTACACCCTGCGCTGCCCGCACCTCGCGCTGTTAACCCGCCACCTCCCACGCTTTAAATTTGCGCAACCCTCTCCTCTCCCTCTCTTTTGATCTCGGCTGCAATGCTGTGCGAGCTATGCACGAGAGTCCGCGGCGCCGAACAGGCTCGACGAGCCCAAGGTCGGGCGGAGTGAGGACGTGGGGTGGACCCCGCGGTAGTCTCGGGGCGAAGCAGTCGGAGGGACTGAGCAGTGGTGGGGATTGGACGCCGGCCGCGGCAGGGCCTTGTGGCTATGGTGGTCAGTAGTCTTGGGAAGTTTTGAAGGCTGCGCCTCGGGGCGGCAGTTAATTGAAATTTTTGTGTACAAGAAGGACTCGCTTTTATCTCCATTGCTGCTTTGTCTATGCGTGTCGTGTGTTTGAAGCCCCGAGTGAGGGGAGCTGGTTATGCGCATGAGTGACGTCGAAGGTCCATGGATGATTAGATGTTCTGTCAAGGGTTGTTGATTGCATGCATGTATGTGTGTATGTACTCGT